CATGCATTTTTAGGGTGCGTTATGTTCGGGGGAAGACGGTAGTAATATCTGATCCCCCCCCAAAAAAAAACGAAAGCAAAAAACGAAATGCGTTTTGCCGCTGTCTAAAGTTTTGCTCGGGACCTGTTCCCTCTTCGTTTTTTTTTTTTTTTTTTTCCCCCGTTTAAACAGGGGCGAGGTCCCATTAGCAGTCGGATAGGAGTGTGGCCGATCCAGTGTGACACTGTGCGGCAGCGGCCCGTCAGGTTCATTACGAATTTCTGGGCTGAGAAAACGGGAGAAAGGAAAAAGAAAAAAAAAGAACAAAAAAAAGAAAGAGAGACCTCCCACTGGAAATCACGGCGGAGTGCTTCTGGCCATCAGATCACAAAGGATCTGATGATGGTGGTGGTTGCTGCAACAACAGTGAAGTTGAGTGAACAAAGTAACTGCCACATTTTTCTGGAATCTAAACTCGACTTCTGTCAGCAGTGATTATGACACCCACCTCCATATACTCCGTGATTGAAGGAGGGCGCCACCCAATGAGATAATTGCACAGCAGCAAGCAAAATAGTGAAAATCTTCTATCCAGTGGGCCTAAGGCCGAACCCTTCCCTCCTTTGGGGTTGGCCACACCCCCAACCGATTGAAAAGATTCTGGCGGGAAGCTTTCTTTGCACGGGCATGCCCAGTGTTAAGGAGAGGAGGGGAACAAGGATCTACTTGCTTTTTCGGGTAATAATAAAATACATGTAAAATACTGACCGTGGGATCACTCACGAGTAGTGCACGGCAGGATTTGGGTCACTCAACTGCCACACAAACTCGTTTCTATCCTATCCCGTTGCTAGTGGGACCTCGCCCCAGGTGATTCGCAAAATCAACGGGCAGAAGTGAAAGAAGCGGCGCAGGTCGGATCTGGGCCTTTTCTTTTTTTATTTATTTATTTATTTATTTAGTTATTTATTACAGCAAAAGTGGGCGGAGAGGAAGACAGCACAGAGCGACTTTTGTGTTTTTGTTTGTTTGCTACAGAAGCTCATCAGCATCTCCCAACTTGTCTGGGCTGGAGTCCAGAGGATTGGTTTGGCTGTGTGATTGTGATTGTTGAGAATTGCACTACTTTATTTTAATTTATCTATTTATTGTTTTTTTATTTATTTATTATTTTTATTTATTTATTTATGTTCATTGCATACATCTAGGTCCATCAGGATTCGGACTTGGTGTACGATCTGAGCTAGGTTCCTTGAGAAATAAATAAATCATTTCAACAGTTTCATGGGTGTGTACCAACTGAGCTAGGTTCATTGAGACATTTTACTATTGAGATCTCCCCGTTTACCGTGCTGCAGAAGACGCCCTCTTTCTCTCTTCTCTCTCGTCGCTCTTTCTCTCGTTCTCTTTCTGTTTTTCTTTTTGTCTTTCCCTCTGTTTTTTTTTTGTTTTTTTTTTTTAATCACAACACCTTCACTCTGTTTCGTCTCCGTCTCCTTCTGTATTTGTCTGTTTTTCTCTTTCTCTTTTTCTCCCCCATTCTCTCTCTCCTCTTTCCCTCCTCTCTTCTCTTTCTCTCTTCTCTTCTCTCTCTCTTTCTTTTTCTCTTCCCTTCCCTTTCTTTCTCACATTTTTCTTGCCGTCTTTTTGTCTTTCTCTTTCTTTCTGTTTTTGTCTTCCTCTCTCCTTCTCTCTCTCTCTCTCTCCTGTTTCTGTCCTCTCTGTTTGTCTCTTTTCTCTTTTGTCCTCTCCCCTCTCTTTTTCTCCGCTCTCCTTTCTTTTTCTCCTCGCTCCCCTTTTTTTCTCCTCTCTCCTCTCTCATTTTCTTCTCTTTCTCTCTTTCTCACTTTTTCTGTCCTCTCTCTTTATGTCTTCTCTCCCTTTCGTCGCTCTCTCTCTCTCTCTCTCTCTCTCTCTCTCTCTCTCTCTCGCCCTCCTCTCTGTCTATTTTTCTATCCCCGTTTCTTGGTGTTGAGGTTTCCATGATAGTTGCGTAACAGAACACGGCGCCCACTTTTACGGGCAGGTGCGGCACAATGGTCTCACCCGCACCACCCACTTGACCTAAAGCCTAAGCCGTGCTCTCTTTCGCCGCGTTCATTACCTCACAATCGTTGACGTAACGGGCGCGATGCCATCCAAGGTAACATAGCGATGGCGCGGCGTGGGGACACAATCTCTTAACCCGGATCTCGCAGTGGCATACACTATGTCGACACGATAGAGGACAGAGGGAGCGAGAGTGTGTGTGTGTGTGTGTGTGTGTGTGTGTGTGTGTGTGTGTGTGTGTGTGTGTGCGTGCGCGTGAGAGAGAGAGAGAGAGAGAGAGAGAGAGAGAGAGAGAGAGAGAGAGAGAGAGAGAGAGAGAGACTGCGGCTTACGAGTATGTCTGGGTTCGTTTGTACAGAATACCACCTTGAGGTCGAGACTTGGACCCCAGTAATGCAATCACAGATTCACAGTACATCTACCTGCTTGCCAGTATCACTGCTATACATTGGCTTGTCTTTGATTCTTTTACCACGAGACATTGGCGTCCGAATTGCACGACCGTAGGCTGTCAGAGGCGATCGTGAAGATCATGATCATTTACATCTCAGGGTGGGCGTTCGCATCATTCTTAGCTGGTATGAATAGGATATGAATAGAAGGTTATGAGTAGAATGATATGAATAGTTGAGGCTTGCCGCAATAGGACGAGAAGGGGCCCGTTTTCTTCTTCTTCTTCTTTTTTTTTTTTTTTTGATATTATAAAGATCAGGTTGTTGTAGAGGTGGGATACTACTAGACCGATGTCAGTCACCCACAGTACTTAGCAAATGGAAATAGATTTTTGGAAACGGATTCTGGGAATGTCCTTCCTCCTGCCAGTGGGAAAATATGTATCCTCTTCTCCCACCCTCTCTGCCTACGGTTTACCGGCCAGCGCGGTTTGACGTTTCCTTACTGCTTTCCTTTTTCTATTTTGTTTTTTTTCGCCTTTGCGCTCCGATACACGGTGTGACGATATGTATATATACATATATATCATATATATATGTATATATATACTCCGGCGAAACAGTTTGTCACAGCCCCTCGTTTGTTGTCCTCTTCTCTCTCTCTGCCTACGGTTTTACCGGGCAGTTCTGTTTGTGACGATATATAGTTGTCCTATCTGCCGAGGGGGTGACAGATGAAGTGTAGAAGAAACAGATAAAAAAAGAAACCGAGTAAAAAGATTATAAAAAAAAAAAACAAAAAAAACCAAGGGAAAACACAAAAAAAGAAACCTGAGAAAAAAGAAAAAAGAAGAAAGAAAAATATGTTCTGTGGGATGGTAATTGGATTATCTGTGGGATGTGTCACTTGCTTCGTCTGTTTAA